TATATATATATAGATATATATATAGTAGCATTGCAGCACACACTTCTTATGTATTTATATATCTCACCCCAAAATTTTTATATTTATGTACATATAGAGCATTTTAATGATTTAATCCAATGCATGAAAAGATACATTTCACTTTTAAAAAATTGTGACAATGTTATTTTTTTATGTAATATTAGGGATTTGAGTGTTATGTATGCAACTATGAAGGTTTAGGTGTAAGATGAAAATACATAAGAATTTTGTGTTATGAATGTAAATGCCCCAAAATTCTTTTGACGCACTTAACGGGCAATTGAAACATTTTTATACTAATTAAGGGATTAAACAATCTTAGAGTCTTGATCAATACTTATAGTTAAAGTGAGCATTATAATGATAGAAAATTTATCAAGCCAAAAATCACTAAATGATGATGTCATTAATACATTTATATTTCTAAAAAATGCTTTATAATAAAAAAATCAAAAGAGGGACCTAATGTTTAGAGAGTGCTATTCAATTTTGAAATTATAAAATCATATCTAGCATCTGCTCTCTCAATTTTTCTCATTCGACAGTGATTGCTTGAAAGCTATCGCCCGATTTCTATTGCTCGAATCCAACTAACTTCTTTCATTGACCATCATTATACTTAAATACATCACTATTATTCTCCATAACATCACAAAAGATTAAGAAAACTTTCCAATCATAGCACTTTATAATTAAGTTTTATCCCTTTGAAAAAAGTAATTAAATTTTATAACATTTGCGGCATATATAACTGACTAATTCAACTATAATATATCTCATAATTACTTCTCCTCCAAAATTATTTACATAAAAATATTAACATTTTTTTTTCTAGATTCACATTAAATTTATCTGTATTTAATTTTTGCATAAAATTAAGACTTAAGAGTATCTCTTCATTATCATAAATATTCTAACATATTACATAAATAAATATAAAAATTGATATATTAAAAATAAATACTTACAAAATTATTTGCACACATTAAAAATTCTCATATAAATTGAGATATTAAAATAAAAATACATAAAAATTTATTTTTGGATATAAAAATTCCCATATAATTTCTAAATGCTTTTGTTGAGAAAAAAGTCAATTGTTTGTCTTGTCTTTTGATGATAATTATTATAAAAATTACATTAAAAAATATCAATTTTATAATGTAATAAAAAGAAAAAAAACATTTATTGTCACTTCCATTATTCATCCAATGAGTAACAAATCATGACAATTAATTTTCTCCCAATTTGTGAAAAAGCAAAAATTTTCTCCTTTTCCTCTATTTCATAAATTGTCATTTCCAATGCTAATCATCAAACGTAACGTTAAGAACATCATGAAGCCGACGAATCGGAACGTACGTAAGCCCAAGACGCGCCACGTATCTCCCAATCTGAAAAGACATAAACACCCTCCACCCCGCTTTCCTTCCGATCGCTTTCCCAAACGCCTCGCGCCTGAAGCGGGATTCGGCCCAGGCCCACTCGTGGCATTTTCGTAGTTTTTTTATAACCCGAGCCTCTTTTCCCAGCCGACTTTTCCTATATTTCCACCTTCCAACGGTCTTCTTCATCACTCTGTTTCCCGTTCTTTCCCTTTCCTCCACTAAACCATCACGATTTAACAGAGAGTTTTAGCAGAAAGAATGGCAGATGCTCTATCAGAGATCTTTGAAGAACCAGAAAGTCTCTTCAGCATGTTGGAAACCCTAGAAGATGTTCATGGAGATGCGCTCTCTTTCTCCATGTTTGAAGAAGAGGTGTTGAATGCTAAAGGGAAGGAGGAGGGAGTCGTAGGAATGGCTTCTCATGGTTCAAATTTTTCGAACGTTAGAAAGAAGCAGGAGAATGATGATGAGGAGGAGGATGAAGAAGGTGGTGGTGGGAAGAGAAAGAAGATGAAGCTGAGCGAACAAGCATGGACTTTGACTGAAGGTCAGGAAGGACAGCCGAAGATATCTCATATTACAGTGGAGAGGAATAGGAGGAAACAGATGAATGAGCATTTGGTGGTGCTCAGGACTCTAATGCCTTGTTTCTACGTTAAAAGAGTGAGCTTTTTTTTTTTTTTCGTTTTATTCTTATTTTTTCAGTTTTTGATATAAGAAATAAAAACGGAAATTTTTGTATACCTCTTCGAGGAATAATATAGTTGCTAGAGATCAATATTGGGTCAGAATATAATAATTTTTATTTATTTTATTTCAAGATGATTGTAATATATATATATATATATATATAATTTTTTTTTTTCTTAATGTAGCTTCTACACGTTTCACACATGGAAGAATGTACTTTTAAGATTCTGCTCTTAAACAATTATGGCTAAATATCACATCTTCTAATAAGATTATAAACAAAAATAAAATTGAAAATATTGTCAATTATAGAGACTTCTGTAATTATCTTTTTTTCCGGAATAAGTTTATTGATTACAAGCAAAAATTTCTGAAGAACACTAATCAAAATGTTATTATTTTATTTCATAAAGTTGAGAGCATACTAATATATATAGAAGACATTCATAGAAATTCATAGCTAGAGGGATGTTTTGTCTGTGTTTGATATTGTCGCATTGTTCTTTAATATGGTTTTTCAGAAAGCAGCTTTCAATTTCTACAAATTTTGTGCATTTAAATTCAACAACACTAGGACCCTCCTTACAACTACATAAGTACAATAGTACACTTATGATGCTGCCCTTTGAAATATTAAATAAAAAATATTTGTACCATAATATTATTAAGTAACCCAGCTTTATCATGACTCAGTTGTACCAAACAAGACTTCATCTGATATACAATTATTATAAATATTTTGATTTATGAATGCCAAAACTAATGTTTTTTACTTGAAATCTTCTGAAACAAAAACAGGGAGATCAAGCATCCATCATAGGAGGTGTGGTTGATTACATAAAAGAGCTCCAACAGCTTCTTCACACACTTGAAGCCAAAAAACAAAGAAAAATTTACAGTGAGGTGCTCAGTCCTCGCCCACTTTCCAGTCCTCGGCATCTCTCTAGCCCCCGGCCACCACCAAGTCCTCGCAGGCCATCTCCTCTCTGCAGCCCTAGAGTTGCTATAAGCCCTAGGACTCCACAACAAGGGAGTCCCTACAAGCCAAACAGGACACAGCAAGGCCATCTGGTTTTATCTCCATCAATGGCTTCCTCACATGAATCTTCACCTTCATTGGAGGCTTATAGTACTGCAGAACTCGTGGCTAATTATAGGAGTAGTCAGCAGGTGGCTGATGTGGAGGTGAAGTTTTCAGGGCCTAATGTGCTATTGAAGACAGTGTCACATCGCATTCCTGGTCAAGCTTTGAAGATAATTGCAGTCCTTGAAGGACTTGCTCTTGAGATCCTGCATTTGAGCATTAGCACAACGGAGGATACCATGCTGTTTTCTTTCACCATCAAGGTATGACATTTATGGCATCTCTCTCTCTCTCTCTCTCTCTCTCTCTCTCTCTCTCTCTCTCTCTCTCTCTCTCTCTCTCTCTCTCTCTCTCTCTCTCTCTCTCTCTCTCTCTCTCTCTCTCTCTCTCTCTGAATATTGAATAATATCATACTAGTGTTACTAAATATTGTAACATTAGTATAATTCTGAATTTTTGCACTATTGCTAGTGTGATAAAAGAATATGACTATACATAGCTTTAGGGTTAATTGATTTTTTATAAATAAGGTTAATGACATTTTTTAGACATACAAATGGCAATTATATCATTGAAAAAAAATTTGAAATGAAGTTAAATATGTGATTTAAGAAATTATTTATAAAAATATGTCTTAAAAATAGTAATATGTAATCATAATTTTAAATAATTAATATTTAGCACCTATGATATTTAAATAAAGACAAATGTTTACCATACTTTAATGGAGGACTCTTGCAAAGGTTTTACTTCAAAATTAAGTTTAGCAAAGTTATTAATATTATGAATAAATATATAGCAGGTTAAAATTTTTGCATTATTTATAACTTTAGAAGTGGTGGTGTCAAACAAAAAGTGTTAATAATGTCTGTCAACCTTTCTTAACTTTGCATCATTAAACAAAAATTCAATACATTTTTAATTTATATGCTTGTTGATAGGTCTTCACAAACTCAAAAGAAAAACGATATAATAGATACAATAAAAACAAAATAAATAATTCATATGTTTGCCATATGCAAAAAAAGTTATCCAACATTGCTAGTATTTCAGTCTCTAATATAGTCCTATGTTGGTCATATATTAGCCCTTCAAACCATCTCAAGTATCTTTAACCTCCATAATCTTTGGGGTCCTTATTTGATTACTCGACAAGGTTTTAGCTTCAAGCTAACTGATAATTAACCTTATATATATGTCATCCTTAGCGAAATTTTGAGGTTACTCAAGCATTGTCATACAAAAACAAACACTTGTGTTAGCATTTATGATAGGCATAAAAGGCAAGTGATAAATAAAAGAATTCATCGAAGACTCCATTTTTCTTCTCTTTATTCACTTTTCTTTTCTTTCTCATGTTATAATTAACTTTAAACATTTTTAAGGCTTTTTTTCTCGCACCTAAAATCTCATATTTGTAATAGATTATTAAGGAATAGCGGACATATTTGCTCTTGTCATGACCCATAAGTGGATGTAGGTCTCTCCACCAAAATATTATAAACCTCTTGTCCTTATATATGATTTCTTTCTTTTGATATAGTAAACCTAGTATAGGGCATGTTTATCACTTGCATATTAATATTGAAGCTATTATATTGTCTTCCCTGCTCAAAATTAATGGTGAGAAAAAGCTTAAGAGATACATGGAGCTTATAGTTGTGAACATAATATTCATGAACTTCCACTTGCTAGCTAATGAGTTTAATTTATCATGATTAATGATCAAGGCTCAACCTTATATTTTGATCTTGAAAATAGTTGGTCATATATGAGAGCTTCATTTATATAGATAAATATGAAAGAGTATTTTGCTGACATTAGATGTAATAATTTATTGAGAATATTACATGTAACATTCTTCCTGAGAGACAAGCTAATGATTATTCTTATATCTTTTCTATCAATCTATTAATTCTCACTATTCTTAGATTAGTTTGATAATGGCTTTATTCCTTTCAAATATTGATAGTTACTTCATACGTTAAATGATTCTTTATGTGCATCTTTCATAACTCACTTTCTATTTTGATCTTCTGTTTCTCTAAGCTTGAACCTAAGAATTTCTTTAGTCTAGAAATTAGATACATATTTCAAAATAAGAATATAACTTCAGGCATAATACCTAATGTTGATGGCAATAAACACAAAGTATAACACAAATACAATAATATAAATCTACATGCTTTGATGAGATCCACTTGTGATCATAATAAAGACTGAATAATTCACTAAACTACAAAATGGTATATATATATGACAGAATTATATCTCATACAAACTTAGGAATAAATACATTAGTATCGTTTGATTTATGTTAATAGTCAACCATTGTGAGCGCTATTATTTTTTTCATTCATTGTTTAAAAATCAAAACATTATATATATAGTCTAAACTTTATATATAATGATTTATTTTTCTTCATTTTGATAAAAATACTACAAAGTTAAGCTATATATTCCCCTGCTTACCTTCCAGAAGTCTTTAGCCAAGAATATTGTGTATAAGGTACTCTTGTAATAAGTTCAAATAGTAAAGCACAAATGAACTGCACAGAAAAAACTCTATGCCTACTTTAGATATATGCAAGTAATACATACATATTTGGCTTAAAAAAACAAAGAACAAAAACAGCGGCCATTTATTTTAACCCAAAATAAAAAAAACAAAAAACAAAAACAAAACCAAAAAGATATCAATCTGTACAATAATGTGCAGGCATCTTGAAAGCCTGCTATTGATTGCTGTATTTTTAGCAGGCCTGTATTTATTAGACATATATGTACTGTGCCGACGGTCAATGAAGCTCTGAAGCTTTTACAGTGCGCTTTGGTAACATTAGCCACAAATTCCAAGGAGGGATGGGGCAGTAAATATATCTTCATATAACTATTAATTTGGGGATTAAGCATTAAATATTATGGAAGATTTACATGCACACCACTCATTACTAAATAAAAGATTATATTATTAAAACATTTTGATATTGCTTTGTATTGATACGAAGAATAATAATGAAAAGTAGAGAATAACTAATTAAAATTAGATGACATTTAATTTAATTTTCTTACAAGAAAAAAAGGATATTATTTATTTATTCACATACAAATTAATGAATTACTTCAAGTTGATGTACATTTTGATATGCTGATGTACAGATTGGGATAGAGTGCGAGCTGAGTGCTGAAGAGTTGGCAAATGAAATTCAACAGACGTTCTCTTGAGCTAATTGAGGATTATCAAACCTAACACTGATTCCGTTCAGATCTTTCAAATCGGTTCAATTGGCTCTCGCTCTCTCTCAAATTGCAGAGGATGAGGTCTTAATTGTTGGAGTGAGAAAATGGGAGGCACCAAAAATCTAGTCCAATTGTAGTTACAACAATCGCTTGCAGTTAGCTTTAGTTAGTTGTAATAACCCATGAAGCTATTCTTCATATTTGCTTGTTTTGAAGCACATGATTCTGTTGAATTGTGTAATTGGTCGAGTCCTTTGTCAAATTTTCAAGTTAATTTAGTCAGCTTTGTTGTCATCCCTCTCTCTCTCTCTCTCTCTCTCTCAAACACTAGACCAATTTGACTTGCATGCGTTGATCGAACTATTTGATCTGAATGAAATAATGATATTAAATATAGGAATTTACAAACATGCCACACCATTCTTATGCATTTGTGCAAATCTAATATAAATAGTTTGATATTTATATTTATAAAACCTAAAAACCTATTGCATGAAAGATGTATTTTACTTTTAGAAAGAAAGTGAGTGTGATATTTTAATGTGATGTCAAAGATGAGTGGTGTAAATAGAGAATTTTAGGCGTTAGATGTAAATATATAAGAATTGTGTGGCATGCATGTAAATGTATCCTTCAAATGTGGTGGTTCATGTAATTTTGCTTTATTTATGGTGTTACAATTTAAGTCCTATCGGTGAAATTTATTGATAAGTTCTCGAGCATTAAGAGCATCTATAGTAGAGGTTGACATCAATCAACTTTTTGTTGGAGAGGAGAGGGTATCCTTATTTGGTGAATGGATGAGGAAGCTATTAGAGGAAACTTGCGGTGAAAAAGATTTTGAGAAGATGGATTTGTTAGAGCATGGAGCATGCAGCACCCAAAGGACTAGAACTCATTTGTCTCCAAAGAGGCGCTCCTATGCCTGAGTTTGGCATAGCCACTCCTGAAAAGAGTGTAGCTGCACCGTGACTCTGTGGGTTCCAGGTTTGCCGAAGCAAGCAAGCAAGATAATAACGCTGCTTCTCGGCGTGACTACGCCCCTGAGACAGTCCCTACGTTTTTTCGATTCTTAAGTTCTGATTCAAGTGATGAAGGTTTTAACTCTCACATGCGGTATTCTCGATGGGGCTTTTGTGAAGATGAAAAGAGTTGAGGAGGTAGATTTCGAGGAGGGTTTTTTCTTTTGAGATTGAGACGAAGATTTGGAGTGAAGTTCTGTAAGTTGTTGTAATTTCTAATAATTGATCTGAGAGTGTATCTTGATCTGTACGTTTATTGTATTCATAATGAATTTTTTTAGTAATGTGACTCCGTGACTTTTTTTTATGTTCTCAAATTTTTCCATGCAAAAGAATCTTGATGTTTTTTCGGATAATTTGAGTCACCCTTCCATACGAAAATTTCTCCCATATTTCTAGAATTAGTTTGATCATATTTCATGGTGTGATTTGATTTCTAATTGATCAAAGCCCAAAGTTTTGTTCTCATCAAAATAAGTGGTATCATAACTAGTGCTTAATTCAATGGGAGCAATGATTAATGAAGCAAGGTGCAAAGTGAAGAAGTTTTATAGATAGAACTTTGCATTCTAGAAGATGTAAGTAAAGGATTTGTTGTATCAGAATATTATATATATATTTGTCACCACAAAGAATCACCAAGATGTCTGAATCGATGATTATGAAGGAATGAGAAATATTTGATCGAATAATCTTAGGTTTGATGTGTTTCACTTTCCTTGTTTGTTACATTCAATATAGTGAATGAAAAAATCAATGTGGATCTCATAGTGACAATGACAGGGATGGATAAAAAATCTTTTGTTTCTAATAAGTTTTTTCAATAAGAAGATGGTGGAAGGCAATTTAATTATAGATATCTGAATAATTTCAACATTGTAATAAGCTAGTTGTGTTCTGAGGATCAAATTTGATGATGAGGTCAAAAACTAATATTTGTCTTCATTTCTAAACAGTCGTGATGGATTAGTAGAAAATATGATAAGTTTGAAGCTGAAGTATCTTAGATCAGATAATGAGGGCAAATATTTCAAAATACAAACTTCAGGGTTTGAATTCAATAGATTTGTATTTTTGTAAAGATTATATATATGACGAAGAGAAGAAAATTTCTTTCTCTAAAGATAGGTCAATAGTGCAATCAAAGAAACAAGAATTAATTCACACTAATGTATAGACTCATACTTCAATTCAGTCCATTGATGTTTCAAACTACTTTGTCACGTCTATAAATGATTACACCAAAAAGATATTGATTTACTTTTTAAAATTAAAATTTGAAGTGCTCAAGAAATGAAAGGTCTTAATAGAAAATGCGATAGACTTGAAGTTGAAGTGTCTTAGATCAAATAATAAGAGCAAATATTTTGATCAAACCAAAAAACTTTTTGCTACAAAGACGATCAGACATGACTTCACTATTCCAAGAATACTGCAACAGAATAGTGTGGTTAAACACATGCATAGTGTTGTAAGAAAAAGTTTTTTCATGATTTTTAAATTATTTAACCTTAAATTCTTAAATAAAAATTCTTAAAAACTCTTAATTAATTTTTAGATTATTTGAAGAATTAATGCTTATTACAAAAATTTTATTTCAGCTTCTATCAAAATTTTTCTTTTGAAGACATTAAATGCTAAATATTTTTAACTCTAATAGAAAATTGATAATATATATTTTTTTCTGAAATCACTTTTATTTTTTTCTTTTACTTTTGTTTTTAACTTTTATTCTAAAATATGTTTGGAAGTGTTTTTTTTTGTGTGCCATTATTTTTTTTTCAAAAATAAATTAATATTTTAAAAATACTTAATACCTAATACTTATTTTGACTGTTTTTAAAAACAACTAATCATGCTATAACTAACAAATATATTTCATTTTGAATATAGACCTAAATAAAATAAATTAAAAAAAAAAAAAAAAATCCCATACAACTCCAAAAATTAATTGACACGCCAGCAACAACCACCTTAATTCAAATATAGATTTTATTTTGTACACAACAAGACAATAAATTAAACTAGCTCTTAAATATTTCTTAAAATCAATCAAACACTAAAATATTTCAGATATAAAATTAAACAAAATAATATTGCATTTAGACTACATCAAATTTGTAAATACTTGCAACAAAAATGCCCCCCAAAATTTACAACCTTTTGGGTAGGTAGTTGAGAATTTAAGTGCTGGTCACTTGTTCCAAATCTATCCTGATTGATATTTTATGGCATTTCCTTAGTTTCTGATGCCCTGTATGTTATTACCCGCATTATTTTAAATAAAACGATTTAAAAATTTGAAGTATCAATTAATTATGATAATCTAAACTGTGGGGCCAAGATTCATGCCTCAATACTTTAAAGTCTCGATCAATGAATTGTTTTAAGATGACCAAAGGCATTTCCATCGAATCAATAAAGTAAAACACCAATCTTGAAGCAATGATCAAATCCAACTTCAAACACACCCAACACGAATGACTGAGCCATCACCTGCATGATTTCAATCTCCAACAACACCAATCTCGAAGCTTAAGTGCCCCCATCCGTCCATCACCCACAAGTACTACCTCAAAGATAATATATGGGAGATTTACATGCATGCCACTCATTTCATAGGTATTTACATATCTAACACAAAGCTTCAATTTTTACATATATGCATGCATGAAAATGAGTATTTCGCTTTTGAATCAGAGGTTAAAAGTGACGTTTTGGATGCGATATGAAAAATCTGGGTGATTCAAATGCAAACAAAAAAAAAAAAAAATTTGGTATTGGATATGTAAATACATAGTAATTGGATGGTATGTATGTAAATACCCCCAAGATATTTTGCTTCTCAACGCTCTGATCAATGTAGGGATCAAACTACCCTTTAATTAGGGGGCCGTCTATTCAACACGAATCTCAAAGAGGAATTGCCTTTGATCCACCATCCATCCCAAATAATGAACTAAAGTTTGTCCCACCCTCACAAAAAAGTATATTTAATAACTGTGCAAACAAAATCAACTTTTGTTTGGCATACATCACAAATAAAGTTTGACCATGAAAAAAAAAAAGTGGCATTTACATATACAGCACAGTTTTTATGTATTTACATATCTCACACCTAAACTTTTCATATTTACACACAGCATTTAAATCATTAATATCACATAAAAAATAGCACCATTGCCACTTTTAGAAATGAATTACATTTTTTCATGCATAGGTTTAAAGCACCAAAGTGCTCTGTATGCAAATATGAAAGTTTGGGTGTGAGATATGCAAATAAACAAGAACTGTGTGCTAGGTATGTAAATTTCCCAAAAGAAAAAGGGGGCAAAATACAAAGTTAAAGTTGCTAACCTCCACTTCTACAGATCTTTCAAATCAGCTCCCCTTTGATAGCTCTGATGACAAAATCCATGACTGCTCTCACTGCCCTTCTTTCAGCATCATCCTGACTATATCCAGAAGACTCCAGAAACTTCTTTCCTATCTTGAAAGAATGATCACCTCCATCAATAACATGTAAATTATTGCCGCATTTCATTTTCTTCATTGTAGAGTCTAGTTTGTCGATAGGACACAAACTATCCTTACTTCCCTGTATGATTGGATTTGTTGGGGTCAAATCATGAACAATAGAAGAAAAAATAAATATTATTAAGTATGAGAAGAATCTAAGCTTACATACATGCCACATAATTTGTATATATTCACATATCAAACACCTAAACTTTGATATTTATATGCAAAACATGCAGATTTTTAATTTCACATCAAAAATAACAACTATCGCCAACTATCACCAACTATTTAAAAAGTGAAATACAACTTTTCATGGCTAGTTTGACAATATCAAAGTGCTATAGATGTAAAAATGAAAAGTTTAATTGCTAGATGTGTAAATACATAAGAATTGTGTGGTATGGTATGCATGCAAATTTTCCCAAAAAAAAAAAAAAAAGTTCATACCTGCACAAACATGGTTGGAATTGTCAGCTGCAACAAAGTTTCATCACGCACTGATCCATTAATACCCTGGATTACAAGAAATGCATGAATTTTGTGGTTTTAAAGAGTTCCAACAAATGTGAAAAAAAAGGTGGGCAGAAATATAGACTGAACAATGAAGCAATCTTTCTTAAAATTAAAAGCAAATTAGGATTCATAGAAACAAACCATAATGATGGAGGATGTTTGAACCCATCACCTGATATTGTTATGTAAGACATTTATAAAGGCAATTTATAAACGTAAGATTGAATAGTGCAACATTTAGGTCCAAACATGACCATTCTATAAAAAATTCTATTATTTTATCCATAGCAGAGTTTGAATATGTTGCTGCAGGAATTGTATTACGGGGTAGATACTTTGGATCAGACAACAATTCAACGTTTACAAATATAGCATAAATTACATTCTAGTTAGGTGTGACAACACCACTGTGATAAATCTAATGAAGAATCACATCCAATACTCAAGAATGAAGCGCATTGAGATCCATCAAACTGTCACCATTTCATTTGGAATCACGTAGCCTTGAGTGATGTGATTGTTGAGCTTGTTAGCAGAGACCATCAGCTTACAAAGATCTTCATAAAAGCTTTGATTGAGGATTCTTTCAGCTCTCTCAGACGATGATTAGATATGTGTTGATAAATCACGCTAATAATTACAAGAATATGAACAAGAAAAGAATACAGTGATTTGACAAGGTTTGGCAATATGCCTACGTTCTCGAGAGCGAATAGCAGCGGTTTTCAATTTCTTGAAGCGAAGTTCTCCCTATTAGGGTTACAAACACTATATATATATATTATATATATATATATAACTCTCGGTACAATGACAAAATTACCCAGTACCGTACCACGGGCGCGTTGCCCCTGCACCCCCAACCCACTTAACAATACTCCCCCATTTAGATAGATGCTTCCGCTCCGCTTCAGCATCTGTCCCTTATTTGGTATATGAGTCATACCTAACAATATGCTTGATCACTCATAACAGATGTTTGGATGTAGCTTATCATGTCATAAATAAGTCTTCTTTAGGTCAGATATCGATCCAAAATTCAGAAAATTCAAAAATTAGCAAAAAACAATTTTGGCCCTTATAATGAGTGCCTATTAAATTTCGTGTGTTTTTAAGTAGAAACTACCAAGAAGTATGATTTTTTTTTCAATGCCACGTGGCATGATATACAATATCACTTTTCACCCATTGTTTTTTTTCTTTTTGAAGAATGTGTATTTTGCATGAATATATAATCAAAAAGTACAAAACACAACTATAAAAGCTACACAAAATAAAGGCTCAAAAAATTGGGATCACAACTGTGAGCATCCCAAACAAAAGGCCTTTCAAGACTAGCATAACACAAAAATGGGCCGCCTTGTTACAATTCTTATGTGTGAAAAAGAAAAATACTTGTTTAAGCACAAATAGAAAAGTCAAGCCTCACTCATTGCCAAGCTGCAATTGGCACTCCTTTTCCTCCATTCGCGTCCTGAGGTGTTGAATGAAAGTGTCATTATCGCCCTCAATGATAATACCTTTAGTTTCAAACATCCAAGACTCCAAAATGTCACCAAGAAAAACTACTACATCAATGCCAAATAATAGTGTTAGTATCATCTCGAATAACCCATCTTTTCCAATCAACCAAAATTCGAGTTCTTTTACGATAAGCATCCCCTTTCTTCTCTGATTTCATCTGCATAATTTATAACAAAACTACTGTGGATTAAAATAAAGCAAATTATGCAAATCCTATGTTCGCAGATATGAGACTGAAATCAATGGGGAAGAATATAACACTTTATTTTCCCTACCTACTCATGAAGAGAAAATTTGAGCTATTGAAAGATTTTGTCAATCCTTTAACTAGTTCGTGAACTCTAGTCTCCATCAAATTCCATCCGTGAATCATATTACCAGCACAAATAGCTCATCTTTAGAAGGTTATCACATTAAATATGTCCTCCACGATTCTCCTGCAGCCAATGATTCTAAGAAACTAAATCTAACTCTACTTGGTCACATAGATATTATGTCCCCAGCTACAAACAATTCAACGCATAGGGCAAGTTTTTTTCCATGATGTACTAAATTAGCACCTTCAAAATTCATCATATCAAAGGTTGCACAGCCAAAGTTTGGCCATATGATCAAGTTTATCATGACCTAAAATTACACCAAATTTAACGTTGGTACATATCCCTTGATCATTATACTCGAACATCCTTTTTTTCATTGACTTTCAATGACTCTCTTGCCAAGGCAAAACAAGAAATCCCACTGATCCTACGCCGTCTTATACATCCATATAAGAACACCTCGATGAAAACTCATGGGTGGCTCATAAGTCTAATTATCCATCAGGAGTGGATGGTAGAGCATTGGTTAGTTGAAAAGCGACCCCAGCCAAATATTTTGTTCATTTTATTCACTATGGATCTACATAATATAACCATGTCATAATAAATTTCCTATTTTAATCTTTTGAACAGCTATATGTGAAACCTATCGTTGTCTTCTCAAGAAAGACCAACTTCAGTCATTCAAGCGAAATAAATGTTCATCTTCTAAACTTAACATTCTCTATGGAAAGTTTGTTACCATAATATGATGAAAAGGGCGCATGTTTGATAAAAATCATAAGCCAACAATCCTAGACTCGATCCATCAGCATAACCAAACCCCATTCAATAAATTGATTAATCCACAAATAAAAACAAAAAATTACGATAATCAGAATATACCAAACAAGATTTGAAACCTCAAAACATCAAACAGTTGATCTCATGGAATTGCATCAACTTTTCAGTCTCGACTAACTCAGGTTCCTCTTCATCATACTCCATCAAATCTCCACACCAACGATACATCTAAGTCTAAAGATAAAAGATAAAAGGGATAAGAAAGATACAGGGATCAAGTCAAGAAAACAAGCATAAGAAAGGCAAGAAAAAGAGGGAAACGACAGCAGGTTAAAGAAGACAATGGAAATAGGTGGTGGGGTGTGGGCCGAAATTTCCATCTGTAGACACTCCAACTTGTGCCAGGCTATGAAATACATAATATCAAAAGAATGTAGCTGAATAAGCTGAAAGAATGTTAATACTCAATAAGTACTTAGAGTGAACTTGGACTATAAACTGCAGGAGGTGAATTTTTTTTTTTTTTTCTCAAAGAACCAATTTGCTAATGCCCACTAATAATGGAAAGATTAGAACAAATGATAGAAAGCCATACATTAACAAAGTTGACAATTAATAAGATTTAGATATTAGTTTCCTACTTAGCTGACATAGTTTCAAACACAAAACATCAAGTAGAAAAGAATTCTCAACAAAAGAAGCATCCGCTATAGAATGTTAATTTCAATTTGTCGAAAAACAGTTCATAACTGGAGGTTAGGAATAATTCTCTTCATGAAGCTCGTCTCCTCTGAACCTGATCACCAGTTTCTAATACAAACTTTTCATTTCATACAACATTGCAAGCATTAAAATGGATTCTCAATCAAAATTTCCCGGGTTTGGAATTTGATTTATTGAAACAGTCATAACCATCATTATTAGGCTTCTCCCATATATTTGAAAATGGCATAATGAATCTTCATTTTTCATTCATTCTTATAAATTAAGTGTTGCATGAGGTCTAGGAAAATAATAGCCTACGTATTGGCAGCATGGATACTTTAAGCATTTGAAAGCAACTACTTTTTCCAATCATAGAATTTTTATTGATAATGAAAATGATGCACAAGTATTATGGCCTAAAACATAATTAAAAGAAAGAGTAAAGTGTCAAAATAATTCCCGAATATTTACATGAGGGCCGTTTTAGTCCTAGAATTTATACAAGTGAAAAAATAATTCTTTTAAAATTGAGCATTAATAGTTCTCAAGTGGGAATTATTTCAACCCCAATTTAAAGAATCTGAGGACTATTTCACACATCTATAAATTTTGGAACTAAAATAGCCCCATGTAAATAGTCGGAACTCTTTTAAAACTTTAATCGTTAAGCAAATATGCTTTGGGAGTAACAACACCAATAGTTCAGCGTTTTTAAAGCAACAAACAATGTCTTATTGGTCTATATCAAATTTCAAGTGTTTTATTTATTAATAGGCATTCGAGACTAATATGGTTTGTTAACAGCCAGACCATAGTCTTTTCGTAGAGCCCAATTAGATTCACAAGAAAAGCCAATTGAATTTGCAAGTCAAAATCCCATTAGAACGAGAATGCAATGATTTGCCTATGCAGGAAAGTACTTGCGCTTTCTCCAGATCTATCTCCCAAGAATCTCCCATGTTTGCTGCTCTACTCTCATTCTCAGTCACCCTTCTAATATATGGTGTGCTGAAAATTTGAAGAAAATAGGGGAAAATAGAGATGGCATAAGAAGAGAAAGGCACCACTGTTTGATAAGATAAAGCATCTTCATGCTAATAATGCTCATAACTGGTTCTCATTCTTAAAAATTTTACTATGTGGTGTGATTAAACTACCTCGAGGCTTTTAGCATGGTGGAATGTCTAATAGTCTAAAGAGAGAATGTTATTCTAAAAATATTTGGTTAGACTATCACTCCCGACTATAAATTCAGGATATTTTAAAGTTACAACATCCTTAGCAAAACAAGAAAGATTTGTAGACGATCATTCCAAGAATAATTAGTTTTGTGGCAATGGCAAACCTCCATTGTATACAGAGCAATGAATTGCATGGAAAACATAGGAGACTTAAGAAAAACCTTCAAAGGATAGCCCAAGCAAACAATTGCTGAAATACTGATGTCTCGTGCACTCGCAACCATGCAGCTGACCCTGCAAAAATTTATTAGCATAGTAGAATCTTTAAGAAGTAATTACCAAGCAATAAACTTCTGATTAAGGGTTTGTTTGGTTCCCTGCATTAGTGGTGTAAAGTAAACCAAATGCAGAGGTTTTCAAAATCTTAGTATTCGGTTTAATGAACACAGAATACATGTAAATTTTTGTTGAATTTGAAATTCACCCAGCAGTTCAAAGCTGATGTTATTCCGAATTTGTTAGATTTGGGCGCTTTTGAAATACATTGCAAACTACAACCTGTTATCGCTGCCAACATAAACTTCGTACGTCGCCACTCTCGCCTATCAGCCACTTACCTCCATCCACTGGAGTCACCGCCATTGGCACCGCAGCCTATGACCGCCGGCTACCGCTACCTACCACCGCTATCGTCGAACATATTTTACATTTATTTCATTTATCTTCAAATTAAACACAACAATACAAATTCCTACATTTACTTTACGCCAAACCTAACAACTTCAAACTATTTCAAAGTCACTGTATTTGAACTACACTGCATTCGCTTTTTTAGCAAACCAAACAGCCCCTAAGCTTCCAAGAGATGTTATACATACCTGGAACCCATGGATTTGCCCACCAAGACCAAAGGATGTCCAGGATGTTTCTGCACAGCAGCTTTTACAACCTCCAAGTGATGATCAACTAATTTTTCGGCTTTAGGAGGAGCTCTCCGTTTTCCACCAGATATATCTGATAACATTAAAAAACTTGGTTCCCAAAACATTCAATAAATTCACCAATAGACCACCTGTTCCTATACCATCTAATAAAGAATTTGTTTAAATCAGCACAGTACGCACAATGAGAGACTATATTGCTAACAATATAAGATTGCATTGCTTAATAAACCTTAGAATAAAACAAAGGCTCATAATGGAAAGACTTAAAGACAAGCTTTTACCAAAAATTAAGATTACAAAGAAACAAATTGAAAGGTGAACCACTTCAACATGGCTCACATGGATAATCAAATGTGATTACTTCAACAGCCCCCAATGCTTCTCCAAGCATCTTCTTCCACCTAAAATGATGTTGCAAATTTTTCACATTACACAACATAAAATAATTTTGAATACACTAAGATCAAAGATTTTAGCATCGAAACAACCTTAAACAACATTTAAACAACCTGAAAAAAATACAGATATATTATCACAACAAATATTGATTAAACTCAGAGACTTAAAAGGGTTAGGGATTTGTGGATGCCAAAGAAATGGTTTCACCCTTTTAGATACAAAACGATCAATTTCATTAATTAAAAACCATGGTCATAAAAGTAAAAGAAACCAAAAAAATTCAATTTATTGATAAATCAAGAAAACCAAATGAACATGAAGCATTTCTGTTTTAAAGTCAAATGCAGATAGGAAGCTCATTCTTTGTCTATAAACTACCAAAATGTCTTACTTTCGCAGCTTAGGTCTCAAAATGTTTATCAGAATTATAGGTCAACTTTCCCTCATCTGTGTGTTGCAACACTGCAGCTTCTTCCATGCTCAAGTTGGTTCTTACCTCCGTCGCTGAAAGGCAATTTTATGCTGCACCCAGACACCCCACGTTCGATCTCATTGCACGGCTCAGCTTCTCTCCCACACACAAGCAATACTACCATTCCTTTTATTGCTGCACCCAAACTACTCAGCTCATAGCATCAACAATTACTTGCAACATGAGAAAAAAAAATTGAGCCATTTGCATTAATCTGGTACTTTATGGCAACATAAAGAAGTTCTGAAATGTCTTACTCTAGATTATTTTCCTCTCTGCTCTTTTCTCTTATTTTCAATCTAATCTAATTATTAAAGTGTTGGTGTCACCCAAAGAAAATTTTGGATCCAATAACCAAGATAATAAAAAAATGTTGATGATGCACTTAACATTAATGGAAGATAAAGTTGAAAGAAACCCTGGATAGATATTTAGATTTTGTAATGGAACTGATCAACTCATCCTTCCTATTGTATCAATGATGAGAAGATAAAGAAGAAATGGTGTACAGAAGGATTGCAACATCAAGATCCCTGAAAAGGGAAGCACACATAAAGAGAAAGACATCGTGGCATAGTGCATGAAGGAGATTATCAAACCTTCCTACAAGTTCGAAAATAAGAAGTACAAGAACAACACGACAATGATAAGCAGCAAGGAATGCAGCGTTAAGTTTTCATATTGTTATTTTGACCCCCAATTAATGAACTAAGGTAAAAGGGCAATTTTGTAATGTGGCACCGCCACCTACCACATCTCACCTACCGCTCACCT